CCCCCCCCGGGGGAGGCCCCGCCATGGTTCTTCGCGCCACCTGAATCCAGCTTGGGAATGGGTCCTCCAGTCTCCAGTCTTGAAGGCTCTTGAGCGCTAGAGACAGTCTTGTCCCTCTCGAAGGAATCCTTTCTTTTGCCTCCTGGATGGTCCACTTGGTCCTCCCTGTTCGTCCCCGGGGCAGCCCCAGGGGTCCTCGGTTTCCCTGCATCCTTGGTCTTGGGAGGCCCCGCATCTCCCATTGTCTCCGGGGCACTGTCCCAGTCGCTGCCCGAATTCTCGGGGGAGCTGTCCACCCATCTGGTTTCTGGGGCAGGCAATTCAGCCTTTGTTGATTTCCTGCGGCCCCAAGGTCGAGGTAGCCAGCTGCCAAGTCTTCGCAGGAACATGCCTGAACTGTGTGACGAGCCCCTCCAAATCTGCCACCACTTCCTGACTGCGTAAGATGCTCCTGGGGAACTATCTCCTCAGAAGCCGGAATTGTTCCGGTTCGGAACAGGTATCGGCTTGGTGATGTCGTCCTAGTCTGAATTCAGAAAGCTCACATAGCCCCAAGTGTGGTAAATGGCCCGCTTCCTTGTCAGTTTAGGGGAGAAGAAATCCATCTGCCACCCCACACACTCACAAGACTTCCAGGGCCTTATAAGGCCAGGGTCACCCCCACAATGTCCTGTGTTTTCAGATTTCCTTCCCAAGCAGTCAGCACCCTAAGTTTCACTCACCAAGGCCACACCCCAAGGTGCCCCAAAACAGGGGGGAGGTGGTGCTCCATCGCAGAAGGAAGGAAGGTGGCCCAGAGTCCTCGGTCCTGAATTTGAGGGGCCTCTGCCCCTCTGCCCGCGGGAGCTCAGGGAGCAGGAAGTCCCGGGAGAGAGGAAGGCGGGATGGAAGTGTCCGGCGAGCTGCAGCCAGTTGCACGCATTCCTTAACTTAGGAGGCCACCGCTCCACCAAGCGGCCCCACTGTCCCGCGCGGGCGCAGCCGAGACGCACGCGGCCTCCGCAAGGTCACACCAGAGACGTCCTTGGGGATGGCAGCCCCGAGGCACAGGGCAGGCCTACCTGGGGACCCAGGGTCCGGGCACAACGCCGGGGCCCAGCGTCCGGGGAGCGGCCTCCCGGAGGCGTGCGAGCCCGAGCCCGGAAGCAGCTGTACCGGGTCGGGAGGGCCCGGCGGGGGCGGAGCCCCGCAGCCAGGGAGGCGGACCCGGCAGAACGACCTCCCCCGAAGCCCCCGCGATGCACGATGCACGAGCGCACGAGCGCAGGCGTAGACGGGATCGGCTAAGCCAGACCCTGAATGCCAGCCCAGTTCTGCTCTTCTCCGCCCACCTCCGCCCGTGCTTCCGTGCTTGGCTTTTTGTTTGGGATTTTGGTTGTTTTAAAAGACACGGTCATCCCTATATAGGTAGCTCAGGAAAGGCCTGGGCATGTGTAGCCCAGGCTGGCTTTGAATTGGTCCTTTGCCTCGGCTTCCCTACTGTTCTTCTGCACACCCCCGGCCATTCCTGGTCCAGAAAGGTAACTATCAGGAGACGCGTGACCTAAGCAGCTGCCCTTTGCCCTTCCTGACCGGGACTTGTAAGCTTTCGTGTTCCTAGCACTTGGTATGAGCATTCCAAGTGGGTGTGGGTGCCAAGTAGGGAATAAAAATGTAACAAAACGTGCTGCCTGTTTTCAGGGTGTGAAATGGGGTCCCAGGGCTGCCTGTGTTAGGACTAAGGATGTAACTCATACCTGCGCTTGCGTAGCAGATCCGAAGCCCTAGGTTACATCCCCTACTCTGCAAAACCGGCTGTGGAGGTTCACAGTTCAATTTTGACATTCCAGAGGTAGTTGGATCTACATAACAAGTTTGAGGCCAGCAAATTGAGACTGTCTCAAAACAAAAAAAGGAAAAGATCATCTTCAACTTTGTATTTGGGAGGTCAGAGCTCTGGTCCCAGCTAGGATGTCATACAGGTTGGATAATGTTAGGTCACACTGGCCATTCCTGCAGGACTCGACTTCCCTGTCACCAGGGTATTACATTTAATCACAACTGGCCTCCTCAGGGAGTTCAGAACTTGAAGGTTTATTTTCAGCATATAGCAAACTTGGTTTGTGACAAACATCACTGAATCGACTAGATTGGCCCAGAGATCTATTGAAGGGGAGTCTGCACAGAACCGGGGAATTCCTAGCTCAGGGGGGTTCCAAAGAACAGATATTTGCAGCCAGCAATGATAGGGGTTCTCTGTCACCTGGAGAGCTTGCCCTTTATGGCTTGGGTGAGGCTTCCATGTGACTCAGATTTTCTCCAGTGCTCTACAATATCATGCAAGAAAGTAAACAAACCATAATGAAGGAAGTTTATTTATCTCTCAACTCTCAGCCCTTCTCTCTAGAAACAGAGGCCAAGTGCCAAAACCTGAGGGTCTGGTATCTGGGCAGATCCCAGGAAGTACAAGTTCAAGTGCCCATGTCAGGGGTCCAAGTCCAGCAAGTAACAACAGGCTGGACCGAACCAGTCATAATTCAAGGTTCATGTACAGTCTCAGATTTCGCTCCCAGGCTCTGTCCTTCTCTTCTCTCTTTCTGTTCTCCCTCTGACTTAGTGTGGCGACTCGAGGTACTCTTTCTCTCCCAGACACAGCCCGGGTATCCCGAGCTGGGAAATGTGTGACTCGGGGTTGGGGTGCAGGTCTATAGCCCAGTCCTTCCTGGTCCTGCTTGAGGATAGTGGGAATAGGGTTGGCACGGCCTTCACCCCGGGGTCCTAGGCCCATTCCTGGTTCCCAGCCACCCCTCAACAGCAGCCTGAAGCCAGGACTGGAGGTGGGCACCCCAAGGGGAAGGTTGGAGGGATGGGGACTCCTAGACAGTGACAGCAGGTGAGCAGTTGATGTGCGGTGGTTGGAGTCTTCAAAGTGGGCACCACAGTCCTCGCAGAACTGGGAGGCGGTGGGGGGAGACCTGCAGAGAAAGAAAGAAAAGTTACAGGGAAGGGAAGAGAAGGGAGACAACGGAAGCCAAGGCTGTTCAGGCACCTGGTGGAGCAGGGTGGCACACTTCATGCCTTACTTCTAATTTTAGCATCATCTTTTTGCTTTTTTCCGAGACAGGGTTTCTCTGTGTAGCTTTGGAGCCTATCCTGGCACTTGCTCTGTAGACCAGGCTGGCCTCAAACTCACAGAGACCCGCCTGCCTCTACCTCCCGAGTGCTGGGATTAAAGGCATGCGCCACCAACGCCCGGCTTAGCATCATTTTTGTTTTATCTTGCGTTGGATAGGCACCCCGGGGTCTTCGAAGTGTTAGCCAAGTGTTCCACTGCCAAGCTATACCAGCCCCTCTCCATCTGTGCAGAGGGACCATTTGGGATACCGTGAGGTGGACCTCAGCTCTTAGGAATAATGAGTAGAGCTAAAGCTTATTTTTTTTTTTTTTTTGCGGGGGAGGTTGAGACAGGGTTTCTCTGTAGCTTTGGAGGCTGTCCTGGAACTCACTCTGTAGACCAGGCTGGTCTTGAACTCAACAGAGATCCGCCTGCCTCTGCCTGCCGAGTGCTGGGACTAAAGGCGTGCGCCATCACCGTGTGGCGAGCTGATGCTTATGACCACACTATGTGACAGCCACTGTTCCATCACTTTCCACATTAACCTGCTGCATCTTAACGACTGCGAGACAGGTGCTTATCCCCACTTCTCAGACAAGGAGAGGTTTACAGACATTAGGCTGACGTTGCAAGAAAACGAAGCCAAGATTTAGTGAGCAAAGACCATGGCCATTGTCGCTCTGTGACAGGAACTAGCTACACTGGAGGATGAAGAGCCCCCGAATGGGGTGTCCAGGAAAGGCAGAACACAATAAAGGTGGGTATGAGCTAGCGCTCCCTCCTCACCGGCTCTGGTTCTCGGGGCTCCTTGTCTCTCCACGGCTCTCTCTGACCATGCGGGCCACCTCAGGGAAGCCCGCTTCTTCGGCCAGCTGAGCAGCATCTCTGCCTCCCAGCTCACAGACTCCTACCCAGGCAGCACCCCGGTCCAGAAGATAGCACACGGCAGCCGCTTGGCCTGCTCTGGCGGCGCACATCAGGGGAGTCCACCAGAAGGCATCGCGTGCATTGATGTTCCCTCCAGCTCCCCCTGCCTCCCGGGGTTCCAGCAGCCTTCGAAGTTCTGTCAGATCCCCGTTCTGGGCTGCCAGCAGGATCCACTGGGTCATCCTGTCGTCATCCTCTGGTGGCAGTGGCCTTCCTTGCCCCGAGGCTCCTGCTGCCACCGCCGCAGCCTCCCTGGTCCCTCTCCTTTTCCTCCTCTTTTGTCCTCTGACAGGGCCAGCTCTCTGGGGCTTAGGGGAGCTACTCTCATCTGCAATTAGAGCCTCGTAGAAAGCCCGGGCTGCGGCCCCATCCAGGACTGGCCCTGGCTTCTCAGGCTGTGGTTGCTGCTGCCCATCTTTCCAGAGGTCGCTGGAGTCGGTGGCTGGAGTAAATGCGATGAGGGACGGCCTGGACATGGCTTTGGGGAGAAACGAGGAAAGAAGGCTGGGAAAGGCTGTGATGAACACTCCAACCCGATGTAATGACCAGCACCACCCCCAGGGCCTGCTGGGATGAGAAAGCCGCCTAGAACTAAAACAGACCTCTCACTCCCCGACCCTAGGATCTTGTAGACCCCTGGAATGGCAGATGCTGAACAGATGTTAATTAAGTATCATGAGGGCATGGTAGATTAGGTTCTTTGTAGAATGCTCGCCTCGAATTTGGGAGGTCTGGGTTCTATCTCTACAACAGGAAAGAAAAAAAAAATGATAATAGGAAAGAATGTTCCCCCAGGCACTTGTCTAGGGGCCCTGCGTTCTACTCCCTTCTCCCTTCAAACAAAAACAGCAGGCTGTCTCTGAAAACCTTTTCCCACCCTGTAACACATACCGTTAGGGAATATCGGCCGGGACTTTTAAATCTTGCTCGATCTTACGTGGGGCTGGGGGGGGGTGTCTCCTTTTCCCAAAGAAAAACAGGCGTGACATCATTCCAGAAGGTGTCGGGGTAAAAGCGTTGCACTGTCACTTCCGTACCGAAAAATGGCGCTCTCGTCATCTGCAAGAGTTGACACAATCCGACACCCACCTGGCACAGAGACGCATGCGCAGCAGCCAACCACAACAAAACACCCACAAGGTTCAGTTTCCCGCGCTGGAACCTTCCCAAGCATCCGCGTCAGGCATCGCGTGCCCAGACAGCGCGAGGGCCCAGGGGGACCTGTCGGTTGGGGTCCTACTTTTACATAACGCCCCCACAATGCTCTTCGCCACCCTCGACGTGGTCCCTCCCGCTCCAAGCCCCTCTTGTGGAGCCGGGAGGCCTGAGGACGCCAGGGAGCCGCGGGATGCCGGGCAGCCGCGAGACGCGCTAACACCACGGCGCCCCTCACCGCTACTCCGAGCAGGGCTCGAAGAGCAAGCAGCTCACGTGGGGTCCGCAGCAGCAGCAGCAGCAGCAACAGCAGCAGCAGCAGCAAGCAGCAGCAACACATGGAGAAGTGCAAAGGGATGAGCGGCAGAATGGCAGGCGCCACCTCAG